ACATTCAGATTGTAGCCCCCATTTCAATTTCATGGACATCTCTAGACTTTTGATCTTTTTTCTCCTAAATAGCCCTGCTATGGACTGGATTTCCCCCCAAAATTCATTGCAGGTTGACCTTTATTGTAACAGTGCTTAGAGGGTGGGAAATCTCATTATGGTATTTGACAGGTGGGGCCTTTAAGAGGTGATTCGATTCTTGGAGTAACAGTCATAGTTCTGATGGCTTTATAAGGAGGGCAGGTGAGAAGGTTAGCTCACTTGTGCTGAGGCCATTCTTAACCATGTGATCCCATAGTTGCCATGGAACCCTGTAGAGAGTTCCCACTAGAAAGCAGGCCCTCACCAGATGTGCCCCCTGTACCGAAGATTTCCCAGCCTCCCAAACTGGAAGAAATAAATTTAATTTCTTCATAGATTACTCAGTTTTAGGTATTCTGTTATAAGCAACGAAAACAGACTAATATAAGCCCCCTTCCTGATCTCATTTATTTCCTTATTGAGCTTAAACATTGTGGTCTCTCACTTGAAATAACACTGTTGTTAGCAATTTCAACTCATTTCTTCCATTGTGCTCATCCTTCTAGGCTCGGGGATAGAGATCCTAGGTTTTTTTGTTCTTTTTATCTTTAATCCCTGGCATACTGCAAAGTTTCAATAAGTACTTGAATGTGATAAGNTTCTTTAACCTGAGGCTTTTACACTTTCTCAAGTCTGTGGATCATGTCCTTTCGGGAACTTGTTAAAATACAGATTTCTGGGCCCTAACTACAAGCATACTGAGATGATTTGTGGTGGTGGGGGCCAAGAATTTGTATTTTAAAAATATTCTTAAGTTTTTCTTACATCAAAGTTTGAGAATAACTGAATTAGAGAATGCAATGGGTTGGAGAGAAAATATGGGTAATAGGAAAGTACCAGCTGACTTTAGAGACCTTAGAAACCTTTACTTAGCCCATAGGATAAGCAGAGAATGAATGTGAAATGGGATAAGAAGTTCCAAAAATGGAACCACTTGTAAGGCTTTTTAATGCTAATCTAACTCACAGTACCTTGACCGTGCATTTAGGAAAGACTTAATTCTTATGCTTAAGTAGATTGTATTTGAGTCTAGGCTAAATTGAGTACTATACTGTAGTTAAAGGTTCGCAAAAAGTAACTTTTAGCTACTACTGTTCTGTTGGAAATATATATATGAGGGTATTTCACAAAGTTCCAGGGGAAGTAGAATTTAAAAATATGAATCTTTCCATGAACTTTTTGAAGTAAACTTGTATAGCTGTACCTACATAATTTGTATTTCAAAATCTTACCCTAAAATGTGTCCTAAATAAATATTTTCTATATGTTGTTATTAATTGATGGCTATG